CTTTGTAAACCTCCATTCAAAAAGAGTTAAACTAATGAAAACACAAAGGTTATTGAACTAGGGAATAATTATCTTTTTGAAAGTGTGTTGAATTAAAGTCAGTTTTGTAAATTGTTCATCTGGGAATTACGAAAAAAACACTTTTAAGGAAAATAATTTCATAATTACTGACCCCAATTAAGATGAAGATGAATTGGTTTCAGTAGTTCTATAATAATATGAGACAGTAAAACTAACAGAAAAGTTAAACAGCACTTTAAAAATGAAAAGAAATTAACATATTAGGTGTCTTATATTACAAAGAAATGCCAGTTTTGTTATTACATTGCACTATGTCAAAAAATTACAATGGTGGTACAGTTAATTGCAAGTCAATATATACCTGAACCTGTTTGAAAGATCTACAAACTGTTTGTTGTTAATCTTTGACATTCTCAAAATAAAAATACTGTACTGAGGTTAAAGATCCTAAAAATGATCCATTCAATGAAAAAAAAAATCATTTGTTTTCTGGTGTCTCTGGGGTTTATTCTGCTTTTATTAAAAGATTGTTTTTTGTTATTTTAATGCAAAGTTGAGGTAAATATTGTCAAGTGAAAAATGGCAGAAAACACATTTAATAAAAGCAGGTTTTAGAACGCTTGTAATTTGTCCTAATTTTTGTCGTGTTTACAGACAAACACACCAACGCAGTTGTATTGCTGACTGCAGGTCAATGCACATCTATTACCATATCACCCCACCCTACATCCATTTTGTACTTTTAACAGATACAAGAACACAAGAGCACATTAGTCCAATTCTGGCTTCGCTACATTAGCTTCTAAGTGACTTTAGGGTTGTTATTTTTTTTCTTATTTGTTTTTAAGCCTCTTAATAACTTGGCAGCATCTCATCTCATCTGAACTACTGCATCCTTATGTTACAGCTCGTACTCTCGAGTCAGCAGATCAGATGCTGTTAACGGTACCTAAGGTTTTCTGTAAATCAAGAGATGAGAGGTTTTTGCAGTGGCGGCCCCAACACTGTAGAACAGTTTGCTACTACAAATCAGCCAGGCTCCATCAATAACCGTTTTTAAATCTTGTTAAAAAAAAAAAAGAACACAAACACATATACAGACTAACATTTCTACATCCTGCTTGCTGTGCAGCACTTTGGTCAAGCTCATTATTTCTAGGGTGCTTTATACACAAATTTGATTTGATCTGTAAATAAACTAGTGACTATTTAGTGATGTATCTAGTTTGGACAGGAAATAACCATGGAAATAATCCTAAACTTACTGGGTCATTCTAAGCTACATAACTAAGACCTGAGTGTTAGACCTTTCCCTTTTAAAGCATGGAACTGGTCATTGTTCGAACATGCATTGAATCTTCAAGATAAAAGCCTGGAGAGGAGTCACCCACCTGCCATCTCCATAATCAAAACAGACAAGCAAAGTTCTTAAATTTTTCACAAAACAAAATTTGTTTTTTTTTCCTGGTACTCCATCTTCTTCTAACAGCCAAGAAAACATGCATTTCATGTCTGTTGGTCTCTAAACTGCCCTTAGGTGTTTAATGTGTGTGGTTCATTCTCTGAATAAACATGAGATGCTAATTTCTAGTACTGGATTAGAACATAAACTCTGGGTCACAGGAAGTCTATTTTAAAATAGAATTTTAAAATGGAAAGAAGATGTATGATGTTAGAAATATGTTTTAAACTGTTGATATGCTAAAGTAACATACTTCTACTTTACAATTGGTAAAAGGATTATGAGTATGCACCTTTAATCCTCAAATCACACCCAGTTTCACTAAGAAAACAAGAACATGTCAGTAAATTAGATCTGCTACCGTGCAGCCAGTACTGACCTTTTCTCTCAGGTGTAAGGCTTTTTAGACTCTTTGGTCAAATCTGCACACTGAAAACAACATACAGAGAGCAGTTGTTTACACAACCCTATTTACCACTGCACAACCTGACATTTTAGAGCCGGCTGCCATCCAGTCATCTGCCCAGTCATACAGGTATTGATCATTTCCTGTGGCCTGGAGATTTTCCGCTGCCGTTTCTTCAACAAATGGATCACACGCCCTCTCACGCCAAGTCTCAGCAGCCCCCTGAGCTGCAGAGTCTGTCATTGGATGAGACAAGATAGAAGTCTACTTTCTAAAGCAGCGCAGCAGCAGACGCTGACGGATAGACCTCGACTTGTGACATAACTCAGGCCAGTGGTTACTGACTAATGTGAAACCGCTGTAGAGGTCAGCAGACAGCAGCAGGTATCCAGTATAATGAATTCATCCCAGTCTGTCTGGAAGCCTGTAATTACCTGAATGTGTTGCTTACCTCTCCCCTACTTTTTGGATGGAGTTTGAAAGTGAGACTAGTGCTGTGGAGCTGCGTTGCACATTTCCACAATGGTCAGAGTGATGAAAGTCAATTCACAGCGTTCTATTCCTGGCTCATTCCTTACTAGCGGTGGAGAAAGTGCCAGAGAGATTTCATGCCTGAGACAGAGGAGTTACACTTGTGTTTTCCCAATGGACCATCAGAACCAACACTTTCCTTCTAGCACATCTGAGAGCCCTCGTCGCCGCTTGCTGACAGCGTGAAAATGGGAATCTGCCAGGAGTATGAGGGGGAGGGGTTCACGATTGGCTAACCAGGCTAAATACTGTTTCTTCTATGCTCTCTTTCGATGGGGCCTTCACAAATGAGAGCTCATGGCTTTCAGTACACAGAGTCTATTCTCACAAAGGTTAAAAATCCCAGGTCAAACACTTCTTGGGAGCTTTAGAAATGACTGTTATTGATGACCAGGACTTCTCGCATCCTTTGAAACGGTCTGCAGAGATTCTGAAAGAAGGCCTTCATATCTTAGATGAGTGGTCATGATCCAAAATGAGGTAATTTTGTCCTTTTCTATTTACCGAACACAGGGTAGCCATTACTGCTGATTGAAACCTACTATGTGGCCCATCCAAACAGTCCAGGCTGATAAATCCATTGCTGCCATAGAAATAACCAAGCACAAAAATACAGTGTATGAAAGGCTGAAAAATGCCTCAAAGAGCAAGGTATGTATGAGAGCATGGAGAGAGCAGGGGCCTCTCCAGGTCACAGTGCACCGTTTAGCCTTGCCTGTGCTTCTCTTAGGTCTTATAGTCTTAGTTCTTATTAAGTCCTTGAAAAGGCAATGAAAGAGCACTTTAATCGACACTTAAAATTGCAATTTCACATTTCAAAAGAGGTTACTGTGTGAGGTTTATTTTTTATTCTCCATTTTCACTGAAATAATTTTTTTTTAAAACTTTTGAAGGCAATTAGAACCATACGATAAAACAACTACTTAATGTCCACAACTCAACCAAGCTCCCAGGTCAACATAATTAAATAATAATGTAATAATAAAATGCTGAATTAATTTTATTTTAAACATAAATTCCACCTTTGCTTAGAATGCTGAACAAATGTAACTCTTCTAGGAAGTTGAAAAAACATGGAGAACTGTGTCCTACAGGGAAAAATTATGCTTAAGGACATCATTTGCGGTGAAATCCTCTGCTCTTGGTTTTGATGTTTGAAGGTTCTTTACTTTAGATTCACAAATGTTATGATGAAGCAAAGAGTTCACGGTCAGAAAAAAAGTTTCTGAAAGCTTAAACATCTGAGGTGGCATAAGAATGATAAAAGGGAGACTGTAAATTCCTGTTAAAAAATAAACAGCTTAGCAAGGTGCACAAGTATTTAACCAATGAGGCCAATCGCTGCACATCAGGGTGTTAAGTTTTTTTTTTTTTCCACTTCAGCGTCCCCATTTAAGTGTCAACCAACACCTGACCCAGACTACATCAATCATGAACAATCTAGTCAATAAGGAAGAGCTACATTAGGAAAAGCTACATTTGAGCAACATTAGAGTAGTGGAATCATATTCAGTAAACAAGTTTGCAGCACAAATCAGTAAATAAGTAAGTTGGCTGAGAGTTAAACATATTTCAACACATGTAACCATGTTATGCAATAAAATCACCTGTATTTAATTCTCAGGTGATAAACATTTACCATTAAACTTCTATGAATACTAATTGTGGATTATTTAAAATAAAAGAAAATAAAGTGGTCAACCTTCATAATATTTTTTTCCCCTCTTGCAAACGCTCTCTGCAGTGACAAGTGGAATATATAAACACAGCCTCACCTTGGAACCTCAAAAAGAAATGTCATGAAAGACGAGCATAATGTTTTGAGCAAGATGCTGGTTTTTATTTAGACATTGCTCATTTTGCCTACAGAATCCAGCAGGACAGCAGAGTCTCTTTGCAGATGAAAAGGCAATAATTGATTATGGTCTACGCTTCTGTTTTCGCCAGTACGCCGACAAACATAAATCATACTAATTCAGATGATGTGCATATTTCACCACAACCAAGATTTGGTTATTAAGCTACCTCCTTATCTCCGTCAAACCAGCTGCAGTGAAAACAAATTCAGAAATAAGTGTCTCCAATAAATAAATCTTGTGACGTTTGGTGGAACAAAAAAAAAACATTGTGGTTTGGTCTGCAAGTGCATTTTAGTTCAACTTCCAACAAGTCTGTTGTACTGCATTATACACTGAGGTTTATATTAATCTGAACCATCTGAATTATTTCTCTAAGCAGTGGGTGAATGCTGCAGAAAAATTGTCCATTTGTTAAAAAAGTTGAAGTTGTATTATTCACAGATGAAGAGCTGTTTCACAACATTCTATGAAAAGAAACTGCAGAAACCAAGACAATACAGTATTTTTTTTTTCAATGAACACAACATGCATCTTTAAACACAAAGCTAAGCAATGACCATATATGCACAGTTCAGAATATACTCCCAACCGGCTTCATGACTGATGATGCTATGGTGGTTGTGTGTGTAAATCTGTGTGTGTATGCATGGGTTCATAGGAATGAAGACAGATACAAAGAAGTAACAAGATTTGGAGGCCAAATAAATAATAGGCTACTTACCGCAACTTTGCTCCCAGTTATCTGCATGCAGCGATCGGTGGAGAAGGTTAATGTGCAAAAAGACACAAACAGCACAATCGTTAGTAGGCCAGAGAATTATCCATTACAAGTTGAGGCATTAGCGTATCTGTTGTGACAACACAAAAATCCTTCACATATTTACAGCTCCCTCGGTTTCACAAAAATTTACAAAAGCAAACAAGATAACTCTCATAGCTATTACTGCATACTGAAGATTATGTCTGTTATTGGCAGCTGCAAGTCCTCTATTGTTAAATTATGAATAGACCGAGATATAAATTATGAGATGTAAATATCAAGGCAAAATTTCTTGTGCTTTTGCAATAATTTGACAATGTGGAAAATAAGACAAGTGAGAGGGTAAATCTCTTTAATTGGTTGATACAGATTTTGGATTCTTACCTAAATATGAACATTTGCTACTGAGGGTAAAGAATGTAAAGAAGGTCCCTTTGGTCTAAAAATCAATCTTCTGCCATTAACAGTGGTCTTCAGATGTCACATTTGTGTGGCAGAACTACCTTGAACCCATGCAGTCAGCACAATTCCTAGGGTTTAACCTTGTTATCTGTCAATAGTGGCAGGTAGCAGAAGCGATTTTCATTACTGCAACTGTGGGACTTGTTTCACAGTGGGAAGGTGTCTGTTAGCAGAGTAAATGTATTCTAATCTGAGGTTGAGCTCTTCTCGCTCTACAACATGCTTCTAGGGAATTGCATTCTGATTGCAAGAAGTTATAGGACACACTGAGCCATTCCCCCTTCCTTTCTACAGTTTTTATAGGAGGCAAGGGGAAAAAAATTTAGCTTTCATTTTCTTTTACCATCATTCTCAAACTGTCCAGGTCTGCATCCATTTATTACAACAGTTACCCTTTCCTTCACCCTACTAAATGCTCAGAACAGCCATAGAAACAGTTTAATGCAACAATTTTCCTATGTTTTTAAAATAGTCCAGAACACAACAATTGCTGCAGAATGTACATCTACTTAACATCAAAACATATTTATAGCAGCTCTACCAAACTAACAGACATTATCTTTAGTGTGCCAGAACACAACACTGGAAGGAGCTTGAAGGTGAGAGGCACCAGTTCAAATTAATGTGTGTTTTGAGAAAGAAAAGGACAAGCCGTTGGGTACAGTGGATATTACAAGGTCTGCACGGCTTGTTACAGTGACAGGTTTTTTGAAATATCACAAAAAGATAAAACACCAAATGGAAAGTTTTCATCTTTAATCTGACCAGCTCTTCCAAAACTCCTTTCAAAAGACTTTGAGTTAAAAAATAATTAAACAATACTGTTGCATAGTTTTCAACACACACAAACATAAATTTTGTTTAAGCACCTTTTTAAGATGAACTTTTAAGGTATGATTTTATCATTATTGGCACATTTTGCCCACATATTTGCTTTTTGTTTACAAAAATTTCCTAAATCTGGCAGATATTCTGTGTGCATCTCTCTTTAGATCACAAAACAGATTTAGGACTGGACAGAAAATCAATCTTCTTCTGATGAAGCTATTCGTTTGTTGACTTTTGAAGAATACTTTACATTTCCAGCACAAGCCTGAAGGATTTGTGCTGACATAAAATATTTTGACCCCAATTTTGCTGAAAGTTTTCAACCTAATTTTAGTAGTTTCTACATCTCTTTAGACATTTTCTCTACTTGATGTCAATGATTTGATCCTTCTTAAACAGACTGAGGTATGTTCCACAATCACAAGATGTGCATTTCCACATGGATGTTTAAGAAATCAGAAGCTACCCATTGAATCAGCTAGCATAATAATTTGCTGCCAAAAGGACGCCCCTACAAGCTAATGGTCTAGTTAAATTCAACTGGTGATTTCTTTTTGGTAATAGTTCTGCTATTATTTTTTTTTACTGTCATTTTCCCAGAAAAGATTTCAGTATTTTCTAATTTTACTGGCCACTTTCCAGGTGGAAAAAGTTGGGAAACACAAAAACCTGCCTTTCTAAACAAGGAAATGTAGGCTTTTAATATCCACAATACATGTTGTACCTAATGACTTGCACATTTTCCTCTCAAGACATTGCTATACACTAATTGTATGAGTACTGCAAATTAATAATCATTAGTGGTCTAGACGTTCTCTGAAAACTGCACGGGCCACTCAGAGAGGAAGGCTGAAAATTGATGGTCACATAAAAAAAATGTAAGAAAAGAATGCAATAATGAGCAATCCCCCCTTACAAGACCTTACATCACATCCTTCCAACATTAAACAAAGCATGTTCATAATTTAACACAAGGCTCAAAGTATGTATTAGTAGCATTAGTAAAATTTGGGAAATTAGCATTTTTGATTAAATTTGCACAAATGTAAAGGGTTGTAAAAAAAAAAGTGAAAAAAGAAAGGCAGCAGTTCATGCAAAGCTAATAGTTAAAGACATTTAAACATGACTCATGCAGAAGCAGAGTTGGATTACACAGTAATCAGTTCATATCTAAATGAGCCAAATCTTTGCAGAAGGTTTTTTTGGGAGTAATTTGCCAGACCCCTTCTGGGGTAAACCTTGTAGAATATGAGTATGTATTCAATGTTGCATGGCTTGAGTGAGAGAATAGCTTGAAATTTTCTTCAAAATACATATTTTGCAAGAGTAAGAATTGTACTCGTTATTTCAGGCAAGCAAAGTTTAAATGCAAATGTGATGTGTCAGTACGCATCAATGATAGAGATACACCACTCACCTAGAACATTATGAAAATCTTTCACATATTAAGTTTCCTTTTGCCATAAAGGCAACAATAAACCGAAGAGGTGTTGAGCAGCATAGAGCTGGCACCAACAACCAACTATTGATTTTGCAAATCATGTAAACTGACATCTTACAGATGTTTCACTAGTATGAGATTCAGATAATTTAGAGACCAAATCAAATCCTCCCCCTTGCTATTTTGTTACTGAAATAGTTTCTGAGCAATTCCACCAGCAGAAGGGCTCATTATCTTGGTTTCACAAAGCACAGTTTCAGATCAGGTAAATTGTTTATTGCAACATCTAAATCAACAGAAATAACCAAGGTTTTCCAACAAAGCATCAATCTAAGCCTTTCATTGCCACTGCTGGATGGCCCTCTGTCCGTTGTATGTTGTGTGGTTCCTCATTTGATACAAAAAACTGATTTTGGTCTTAAAAAATATGTTTGTTTGGCTCATTTCACATGTAAAACTTTTACTTATGTCAGCCACTTCAGCTGCAGTAGAGCGAGTTTTAATACTGGCCTTTATTTAAATCATCAGTGGACCTTTAACCAAACAACTATAAAGCTGCCGCACTCTATCGAATTTGCATATCTGGAGATTCTTGTAACCCTGTCATTAAAATTTCTAATTTGCAAACATTTGCTTAAATTATATTTGCCTTTTTGTCTTCATAATGTACAGGCCAACTGCCAATGAAATGTCACCTTTGAGTGATCATAATGCTTTGGCTGATTGGTGCATGTGAAACCTGTTGGTTTTTGGTCAGAAAGCATATTGGAGAGACCAACATCTGCAGTGCTTCACCAATATTTAATCACTTAAATTTTGTGCTTTGAATGATCTGAGGATGTTGCCTGCTTAAAGTCAAGAGAAACAAAAGAAGATATTTCAAACTTGTAAGCGTGTTAAATTATAATAAATGCAATAAAACAATGAAGATGTTAAAAAGAAAAAACACAACAAAGTAAGCCTTTTAGAAATGATGGACAATGGAGACACCACAGCCAAACTGAAAAACCCACAGAAAGATAGAAAAAAAATCCCAGAATGTTAAAAGCCAAACCACCTAGTCTTTGCGCAACATTTTATATTTAGCCCATAATGCAAGCTTTCCAGCTACACATAACTAAACTGCTGAAATGCAATTACTTCTTCCAATTGTTCTAAGTTTCAAACTTTACAATGAATCATTAATTCAACAATGTAATAAGTGATGCTGATCAGAACTCTCCAAGCCATGTGATTATGGTTTTGTAATGCGCTAAGAATTAGATAAAAGATGGAGATTTGCTTACAATTTAATACAAGTCTAGCAATATGCTACAAGCTGTTACAATTGTTAATTTTTTACAGTAATTTCTGCAAGTTTTTGAAATTGCTGCAAACTTTTACAACTGTTGCAAATTGTTCTATGGAAAACCTCAGTCTAATACTGGATAGTATGATAAAATATTCCTAAAAACTATTTCAAAAGCCCACCTAAACAATCAAATTGATGCAACCTCCAGTGGGGTTAGTAGATACCACACATTGTTGGGGATCTACAGTAGTCCTGTACTGTAACTGCACATTTGCATGAGCCTGCATGAACAGCCATTTCATCCCTGACACTGACTTCCCCCTCCCCTTCTCCTCCATCAGCCCTATTAAATGTGATAGCAGGGTGCAGACAGATGTCACATTTTGTCCTCTGTCCTTTCACTACACAGATTATGTTATTCATTTGAATAAAATATCTCTGCTCACAAAGCATAATGGGCCCTGTGAGGAATTCAATCATCTCGGATAATCATCATTATCAATAATGCCAGTTAATTACCATAACAATGAGCAAGGTAATAAATGATGATGTCAAGGCAGAGCTACCAGGTTCAGGAAACAATGAAGAAAGAAAGCACTTCTTCTCTTCAGAAGTCCTATGAATATCACCTCAGTAAGGTTCTACAAAATCTCTATGAAAGAAGTCATTTCAATATACCGCCACATAAAAAGATATAAAAATTGCAAATAATAATGTTACTCATCTAAAATATTAAGAAGCTGCTGGTAGATATTGAGGCCAGATACTTAAGACAATTTATCCAAGCATGTTATGTGTACAGTGGCAGTAAGGTGAGTAAATGGCAGAAGAAAAAAAAAGGTTTTAGCTGCACTCCTGTACCATAGCTGTTGGTGTTAACTTGAGAAATTGTGATAGTTTACAATCACAATTTCTTGATCTTGATCACTCCATGGTCAAAGCTGTATATCAGACTTCAAGTCCATACATTTCTTAGTCTAACAAGTACTACTTAAAATGAAAAAAAACAGGGACAAATAAAATCAACGGTCAGAGAATGTGCATGTGCAAGCTTAAGGCATCTTAAAAGTGGTCTGTGTTTGAACAACATCACAAAGCACTTTAGAAAAGCATGACACCCACATGTTTATTTTGTGTCAGACTACAGGAATGCAGTGTGTGCGTGAAAGGGGTTTATGCTATCACTTTGGTGCCAGTAAACAAGAGTTGCGTCACATTATTTTAAGACGAAATGTAGGTGTTTTAGAAATCCAAAGGACACCAACTTCTGTTTTTTGCTCTTGCCAGATACAAACACATGGTGTTTTGAGCAACAGAAGTCCTACATACCCAATCAGGTCTGCCTTGTTGTCTCCAAAAGCAACAAATGTTTTCAATGGGTGACAGGTTGCAATTTTATATTATTCATCAACTGTTACCCTTGAGCTTTAAGAGAAATATCCTTTCATAAGACTCTGAAATGCACTAAAACATTTTTTTTAAAAACAACCGTTTTTATTATTATTATTTTTAATAAAATAGAAACATTTATCAAGTTCAACAATTAATATCTGAACTCCTTACAATTTATTGTGAGCAATATATTGCAACTCTGAGTTTATTTCTACTTTAAGTTATAATGTAGCTGGTCAAAAGTTAGACATCACCACCACCATAAATGGACAAAAGAAAAAAGTAAGACTGGACAAACATGAACCATCCACCAGGCAAGCAGCTCCAAGTTTCAGGTGCAGCTCAATTAATATGAATAGTATCAACAAAGTATTTATCACTGGAATTTATATTAAAAAACAAACCTCATACAATTAGTTTACATGATACCTACTAAATGGATATCTAATACAGACATGTCACCCTAAAAAGAATACTTATGTACTGCATGATTTATGCAATCACTTCTTTTTTGCACAAATCACTTCATGAATGCTGCATGGTGCAAAGTCACTCACTGTGTAGCTTTGCTTAGTTGTTTATAAAGCCCAGGTTGCTTTAAGAGTCTGCTGTAAGCTACAGTTATGCTTGTTGCACCTTTTCCTTCCACTCAATTTTCCAGTTGTAGCAAGCCTGTTTGGACACCAGTATCTGGTGTAGCTATGTGTTATTGGGAGTATTATTTTCATCTTAATTCAACATCACAAGTAGTTTATTCACATGAGCACCCAGCTATATTAATTTTTGACAAACTATATTTTTGGGCTTTTATGAGCAATACCCTTAATCAACAAAAATAAATACAACATTAAAATAAATCACTTGGTGTGAAATAAACCCATGAGTTTCACTTTTTTTAATCACATCATGGAAATTAAATCAAGTTTTCAATAACATTATTGAGATGTCCCTTTAGATCCAAGGAGCAACCAAAAAAAAAATAAAAAATAAAAAATCAAAGACAAATATGTCAATCAAAACTGCAGTCAAAGTGGTGGGCCTCAAGCATGAAGAGTGAGGAAAGGTGGTGGAGTGGTGAGTGTGCAATAAGGCGTTACAAAGCAGAGTATGAAACGGAGCATCGGGTTATTTGATCTGTTGTTTTCACAAATGCAACACACTTTTAAAACACTTATTTATTATGACACTTACAGATTTGGCAGTGGCCGAGATGTACTGGACCACCATCTCACGTTTGATGCCCAGTTCCTTCCCACGCAGAGGGGCTTTACGATCCTCATTGAGGTTCATGTCCTCCTAAAAGAAACAAAGAAGTGAAGCTGATTAAACTCTTCAAACTTTTTCAAGGTTGCATTGAAAAGGGCACAAACACACAAAAAAAACATGTTCCCTCGATTGTAGCATTTGTTCATTTCTTTTTTTATTCTATAACATTAATTAGCACGGCAAAGAAAAAAAATTTGAAGAAATTTTATGCAGCTGTAGTTGATCCCAATAATCACATAACCCAAAAAATTCTGCAATTTCTGTATTTGAAAACCTTGAACTCTGAACTGGATCATTTACAGTATAATAGGTTAATCAGAAAGTAGAAACCTTTGAGGCACAGAAAATTATTTTTCCATTTCCACAAGAACCCCTTTATATCAGATCTTGTCCCATACTTAAATTAATTCCCAACCGTGTTTCTTTGTTGAAGTCGCAGGCTGCGGCAGCGGAGTATAATGGCAGGAATAATTAGTCCTTGAAATAAAAGTAGAAAAAGGCAGCAGCAATAAAAAAATTAAAAAAAATACACTGCAACCCAACTCTGAACAGAAGAACAAAATCACACAACATGGCTTCTATTGAGGCCATGCAATCACAGCTGATAGGCTGGATAGGCAGTATCTACGTGTTATTGGGAGCATTATCTTCATGCTCCTTTAATTCGGCATCACAAAGAGTTCTTTCATGTGAGAGACATCAGAGGATAGAGTGAAGGCCGGACAGAGCACTAAAAGCTAGGGAATGACATGATGATTAGAATGGAGGAGAATGTTTATCAGAAGCACTCTCTCACAAAGAGATGGCTAGAATGAACAGAGAGGAAAAAACATCCTCCAGTGGGGATTCCACAAAGATGTGGAGGCATGCTGCCCTCTAGTGGACAGAAGGGAAACAATCTTTATCTATTACACTTCTGATTTCACACCGATTTCTCTACATCTGATGAAATGTCTAATTCACCTTGTAAATTATGTGCGTCATCAAATAAAAGCAATGTATTATACATAGGTTTTATTATCTTACCACAAGTAATCAGATTGAAATTGTTCAGCCTCATTTGTCTGCGAGGCATGGGCAGGAATCTCAACCACAGGCACTGTGACCTAAATTCCTTTAACTACATTTCCTCCAGTAAATACCCTCTGAGCAAAAAAGAAAACCATTAACGTCTCTTGTGGAACTGGAAGAGGGGGAGAAAAAAAATGCAGCCGAAACTTTTTCATCACCCAGGGAAACCAGCAGGTTTTTTAATTAATCTTTGAACCCTGCTAATTTATCTGCTTAATTGGCATTCAATAAAGGAGGCAGAATGTGGCGGGGTGAGTACATTGCAGGCACGCAGAGGGGGGGCGGCGGGTTGCATGAGTAGTGAGCCTGCGGGACGTTTGTCAAGGGGCAAACTGGAGGAATGAGCCCTCCATGTTCAGCCTGCAAAATGATTAATGCTCTTTTATTAATTATACCCTCACAGGCAACATAAAAAGAGTCTCGATATATCAGGACTATTCTGCTGGTGTAACTAAAATGCCGTGATTTGAGCTTCTAGCGATGCCAGTAGACTAGACGAGCACTCCAGCTCGCTATCTTAACACCAGTCTGACAAACTCAAGTAAGAATTTATTAATACTGATCAGGGTGCTGTGCTCATACCAAACATAATTATACTGACAGTGTATTCAGGAAATCATCCTTCACACAGTGCTGTGACAAAGTATTTTCCCCCTGTAAGGTTTCTCTAGTTTTTACCTTTTTAATCACACTTAAATGTATCAGATATCAAAGGCAACTTTTAAATTATGTAGTCCTTTAAATGAAGATGGCTAACCAAATGACTGCTCGTCATATAACTGCATTCACTTCTCAAATTATGAATTATCTGTGCATGCCAATGTTGTTTTTGGTTACAGTTCCCTTCCAGGTCAGATAACTGCCAGAAATCACTTCAATAGAACCTTTCTGACAACATAAAGTAAGCAGCGTATCATATCCTAATATAAAGGCAAAGAAATTCACTCTCATCTATTAGTCTGGAAATGTTTATAAAAGTATTCTAACCACAGTGAAAGAAAGTATCCACAAATGGAGAGTTTTAAGGAGAAAATACATCAATAGAACACAAAAGCCCATGTTTCTGGGTGAATGGTGTGCTTCCCACGACATATGGCGGAAAACCTAAAGTCTTTCGAAAAATGTTATTTTTGTTTCAGGTTATCTTTGTCTGGCATTGCAATGGGTTTGATAATATAAAATATTTCAGTTTGACAAAAAAAGAAAGCAGAAGAAAATTGTAGGGGATAAAATGTTTTGACAGTTCTCTCCATCTAAGTAAAGAAATGTTTAATTTACAAAAACAAAGCTATTATGCATTTTACTAAATTCCTGAGTCCTCAATCACTACAACCTAAGAAAGCAGGTGTTTCCTCTCACCAAACCATATTCCCCAACCAAGCAATAAGTTTAAATAGCTACACTCAAGGCATGGCAGATCTTCACTGGGGATGAGGCTTAGCAGCTGTCTGATTATTTGGATCAGAGGTTTCAGGCAGCCACCAACAAGAGATAAATTAAAACTTTGCAACAAATTTTAGTTTATAAACCAACTTTGTTCCTCCATTTTTCTAAGTTGTACAACATTTTTAATGCAGAACTTTATCCTGAAGTTAAACTGCTAGGATGGAGTTTCATCTTGAACTGTATTGCATCAAACTGAACAGTTTCAAATTTGACTTGGACTTGTGCTCTAAAGACTTGAGGTCTTGGCCTTATTCTCTCATCTAAAATCAATATTTACTATTTAAAGATGTGACTATTAATGTCCTCTATTATTCTCTTCCCTTGAATCGCATCAACACTATATTATGCTTGTTAAATTTTCCTCCTTAGAAACCGTGTCCTGTTTATCTGTGCTACCCATAAATCCGTCCTACCTTGTGGTAACGCGCATGCGCACATCGATGCTATGTCACATACAGCTTACTCAGCAGATTTCTTATAAATACGTCCTACCTGTGGAAGTATTGTTTTATGTGTTTTATTTCATTAAAGATTACAGCAAGCTTTATTTGATTTATTTTATACCTGGCTTTCATTAAGTTGCTGTATTACTTCCTGTTTTTAGTTTGCATGACAGGCAGCTTGCAAATATATTTATAAATGGCTTTAGTTTGCCGTCTGCAAAGTCATTACTACTGTAAAATTGTGTTGTGGGCTATTTTGTTGCTATATTTTAAACTATTTTGATCTTAATCACGCTCTTTTTTATATTATTAAACTTTGCTAAATAGATGTTGGTAGAGGTACTATGTGGGATTGAAGATGTGTAATAGCCGTGTAATATTAACAATATCCTATCACTTCAGGAGCACAGTGACCTGCGTAATTCGGTGGACACATTGTGGCTGTGCTGCATATGATAACAGACATGCAACATATTAATGCGCAAAAAAGAGTTACAGTGAGCCGTTGTCTGCCTTTAATTCAATAAAAACGTGTTTCTGTCTGATACGGTTTTATTCTCACAAACACCTTTGTAACTTGTTGGGGTTTTGAATTAGAATTGACAATTAACGTACATCTTCAAATGCACCCAAGGCTTGAAAATCTATGAAGGGACTGTCGTAGAGAGAAATGTGGATCTGAGAAAAGTGGTTAAAAAAAAAATAAAAAATGTTTTGCTTCAATTGTGACAAATCAATTATTTTGTCCACTACTCTCAAGTTTGATCCATGAGAGGCATAAGGGCATATGCCATAATTCTCCTGTGGGCTGGTTTTAATGTCTTGGTGCAGAGTGGAAGTGCTGAGGGATCACAAAGGAGCTTATTACCCAGAGTGTTCATCCTGACAATGACACACCATAAAACACACATAAAACTTGAAACAAGCCACAGTAGTGCTGCAGTCCAACATTGTTACTGTGCTTCCATAAGCATCCCAACATGTTTTCACAAATTTGTGAAAATGAATTGCATTAGAAAAGTATTTGTTCTCGCGTTCAAAACAACAAAACTAAAAGTGTTTTTGCTGTAATTTTATGTGACCGATCAAATTAGAGTAGCATAATTGTGAAGTGGAAAGAGACTGAGAATATGTTTTTTCTAAATTTTGCATAAATAGGAATCTGAAAAGTGTGGTATGCTTTTGTGTCCAGCCCTCTTTATTTTAATATGTTTAAATAAACTAAATGCCTCCAGAAGTTAGCTAATCAACTAATGTAATCCATATGTATGTAATTAGTTCTGTGAAGCTTGAAGGTTTGTTAGAGAATAAACAATGTCATGAAGACAAGGAACACAGTAGAGAAGATTAAAGTTGGGTTTCAAAACAATATACCCGGCTATGAACATCCACTGGAGACCCACAGTGAAACATGGTGGTGGCAGTATCAGGCTGAGGGGATGTTTTTCTTCTAGAGGGACAGAAAAGCTGGCCAAAAGTTGATGTGAAGATGAATGGTTCTAAATGCAAATCACATCTGTCAGGATTGTCCCTAAACATACAACTAGAGCTAAAATGTCACCGTTTTAGATAAAAACAGTGACCTGTGTTGGAATGGCTAAGTCAGAGTATGTCCTGTCACCACGATCCAACCACGATGACTATAAACATGAACTGCTAAAAGTGGAGTTTGAAGACCTGGTGAGCTTTCTTATTATTTATTGAATCATTTTTTAATAATTTAATGAATTATATAAATTTTCACATAACTATATAAAAACAAATTTAATAAAAATGACAAAAGTCTACCAACACAACTTCACCATTGTGCTCCTGTAGCAGCACACCCTACCCACTGAATCTGGGGACAGGGTGGACTTCTAAGAATACACCACCCCATCCTGCAAATCATGAAGAAAGGAGGACGCAATTGGCAGCAGCCTTCGAATTCAGACAACCTTTGTAGCGTCGCTGCGATGTAATTGGCCTTCAAATGCTGCCTTCAAAGGACGCAGCTCCTGAATTTGAACACACACTTGTACTTCTAAAATCATAAAATACAAATAACACAGCCTTCATTGACTGACAGAA